AGAGATTCATGCCTAGTCTTATACAGCATGAAAGGATTGATTTCATGAAGATGTTCACGAAACATGCAGCAACATATGTAATCGCATCGCAAGAGCACATATGACATATGTCATATGTGTGCCCAACAAATGAATCCGGCCATTCCGTCAAACTATAAAACTAGTGGTTAGGCCGACTAAATTTCATCAACATTTTTGCACAGGTCAAAAGCGTATTAACAGTTCTATCAATATGAACTTCAGTTTTCCTAGTTGTACGACGCCGCTGGAATGGAATTGCTGTGCTAGTCTACATGTCCAAACAGTAAAACAGAAATGACGGGATGAATCACGGCAGTCACAGCTGTATGGTAACGTAAATGACTGGCATACTTCACAAAAGACCAGACGTTGCATATAACCAGCATGACAATAGAAGGCGAAGGGGAGCCGGGAAATAAGTCTTGAACATAAGATGTCCATTTTGGTGTTGACGGTAGGAAAAACTGCAATGACGATGAAGTTGATTGAACGGATTACTGCACAATGGGCTAGATCATGGAGGATTACGTTAACGTGTAAATAATAAAAACGATACTCAGAATCGTGCTGGACTTACATCTCCTGAAGCAACAAACACAGTATTGACTGCATAATGACTGGCATACCTCATGACAAACCAGATGTTATAGCTACCATGACAATACACTCGCCGAGTAAGAAGGAGGGAAACCGAATCATCCGAATCATTTCCGAATCATTTTGACTCGGGCCCGGATCCAAGATTCAAGATTGCCCAGGGGTCTTGCCAAGGAATCTTGGATCCAATGGGTGAGTGTCGGATCCAAGATGCCCAGGCAAGACCCCTGGGCAATCTTGAGTCTTGGATCTTGGATCCAGCGCCGGGACCGAATCAAACTGATTCGGAAATGGTTCGGATGATTCGGATGAAGGGTCGGATCCAAGATTCCAATCTTGAATCTTGAATCTTGGATCCGGGCCCGGGCCCGAATCAAAATGATTCGGAAATGATTCGGATGATTCGGATGAGGGTCGGATCCAAGATTGCCCGCGCAAGACCTCCGGGCAATCTTGGATCTTGGATCCAGCGCCGGGACCGAATCAGGCTATTTTGGAGGGAACCCGCCAATGACATGAAATAATAAAGTACAATCTGCAGGCACTGCCCCCAATCCCAAACTCCCACGCCATCCTGAACCTGAGATTTAGGAGAAAGGCTTGGGGACGAAGGGGATCCCGCGGACCCACGCCGTCCGAAAACTTGGATTTAGAGAAAAGGCATGGGTACATGGGGGGGGGGTACCATATATATGTATATATATATATACATCATAGATACACACACACGCATATTCATCAGGCATGCGTATATGTATATGTAAATGTCTACGTCTATGTATGTGCATGTGTATGTGTATGTGTATGTGCACATAGACATGTACATATGTGGGTGCATATACAGCTACAGGTATACATGTGCATCTATGAATATATACACATTGACTTATTTCTACATTGTTTGTGTGCACATGCTAACCTACCATCCTGCGGCAAATCTTTTAAACGCCCAAAGCCCTACTGTTGTAAACAGCGACAGCCCACTTCGGCAGCAGGTGCACGAAGCAAAGAAGCCCACAGCAGGCCGGCTACAGCTTTCGTGACGGTATGGGTGGGCCGAGGTTGTCCTTTAACGGGACTTACCGATTGGTTCTGCAATCCTTTCTATTTGGATTTAGGGCTTTGCGGTTTCCTTGGGGCTGTTCTTCTCTCCAGTCTCCTCTGCAAGGATCAGGGGGGTTTGGCAGGAATGTGCGATTTCCTGTGTCCATTGGAATATTTGGGGTTTCAAGTCCTTCCAGGAAGCTGAAAACCATGAGCAGAGAGGCTTCGAGTATTGGAGGTTGCATCGAGTTGAGGCGCTAAGGTTCAGAGATCGTGTCCACGCGAGGGGTGGGGATACCTGAAACCAAAGACGACAGAGACTCCTGGGGACACATTCGTAAGATGGAGTCAGGCGCCGCTGCTGCAGCAGATCCCAAGGTTCGGCTGGCCGGTAAGGGCTCCCTAAAGGGTTCCTTGACGGATTCGACGCTAAGGATCCGGAGACGGGTTCTGTTCCTATTTTAACATTCCCAGGTGGTTTCAATAGCGCTTGTGAGGAGGGATCTCAGGGCTCGAGGGTGAAGGGCTGGGGTCTGCCGTTAGAGCTTGTTTCGATGGCGGTGAACCTTCAAACCTGTTGTCCTTTTGAACCACGTCTGGAGCCTGTGATCCTCATCCGCAACTTTAAACCGTTGAGCCCCAAACCTTAAAGCTTTGGACTCTAAAACACCAAAGACCAAAGCCCTAAAGTGTTACACTGGAAGCCCTAAACCTTAACTTAAACCCAGTAAACCCGGGAGCCCCAAGCCCATAAACCCAAGCCCAGTCAAGCCCAGATCCCATCGGCTTGTCAAAGGCGCCAGACCCCGTGGCAGTTTCGGGATGCCGCCGCGGCGAGCCGGGGGCTTAGCAGCAGCTTTAGGAGGGGAGGGTTTCAAGGTTTAGGCTTTTCGAGGGTTTTGGTTTAAGGTTTCAGGGGATTGTTGGGGTGTAGAAGTTTACCAATGCCTTGAGGGCGAGAGCGAGGGTTTGAGGGGCTCTCAGTTCAGGGTTCAAGGTCTAGGGCCGTTTTGGCTTCCTAGAGTTCTAAGTTTTGGGTTGAGAGTTTGGGGCTTAAGCGATGAACATAAGAGCACGTTCTGCTCGCGATTCTCAGCGAACAGGCTTGATCGTTGTTTTCCTAAGCTTCCCCTGGATCTTGCTCAAAGTGAGTGAGGTCTCCATCACGTCCACAATCTTTTTGGCTGAGCTGCCAAAGACATGTCGGCCTTCGCCTTAAAGATGCTAAATCCCACACCTCCACACTTCGAGCCGCAAGCAACAACGTTCCTGCAGCCGCGTAGTGCTGTGTTATGGAAGCAATGTAACACCATGTGCGAGGCTGCCGCCGACAGGGTGGAGTACGAAGTGGACGCCTGTGCCGGTCCTAGCTTCAAGATCTCCTACCTCAAGGGCCATGAGGAATCGATCTCGCTTCATTGAAACAACTGTAGACACTGTAGGGTTTCTTTGGCATGGGTTTCGAGTTTCGAGCTCTGACTGGCGGACAGGGTTTTCGATTTCATGGTGTGCTCCGATGGCAATCGCTGTAAGATTTTTCCACGAGTGTGAGCATTAAGGCGTCTATGTGTAAGCTTTCGCGCTGCACGACCCCGTTGAGATTGAACTGATGCTTGAGCCGAACCAAGGCGACGAAACATGCTGCACTCCTTGCTGCCATTGAGGAGTCGTGGTCCCAGCTTCTTCGCTGAGCTTCGCAGTGAACAAAAGCCGCCAAGTGTGCATCCTGAGACCTTAAACCAATGCTAAACTCTAAGCGCGCAAGTATTACGTCGTGTTCTTTCAAGCATCTGGGAGCATTTTACGCATGTACTGCACGAAGAGATTACAAGCAGGAGTCCAGGCCTGTAGCGCCCAGGCCTTAGCTCCGAGCCGCCGACCCTGGACCTTGAGCCTCACCAGCCTACAGTATCCGGACCATAGCCATAAACCCTTGAGCCTGAACCCAGAACGTCAAGCGCAAGCTCCGCAAGCATTACAGCGCCAAGCAGCAAACACCGTAAATGCAGACCCTGCAAAGGCTCTCAGCGTGCTTGTTTGATGTCCTGGCCTGTTCATCCGAGCTGTTTCGTACATGCTTCAAAGATGGATAACTTCGGGAACTGCTACAGTTAGCGCCCCATATGGCTGGGCCCTAAGCCCCTTTTAGCCTACAGCTTCAGGCCTGGCTCCGAAAGTCAAGAACCCACACCACATCAGACAGCTGCCGATCAAATGACAGACAGAGGTGTTGAAAAGGGTCAATCTCGGAGCGCTGCCAGAAAGCAGCTTCACATCGGGTGTTTCTTCAAAGCTGTGGTGCTTTAAGCCGGGGGGACGTGAGCTTTCTGGTTGTTGCCTCTTTTTCCATTGGCGTCGGTGGAAAAGAAGCCATGATCCGCGTTTTCATGGCTTCCGGAGAAGAGCTCATTGCAGTCCCTGTGGAGGACGGACAAGAGTCTGGCGGTTTCGGGATTTTCGGGTTTAGGGCTCACGTTTGTTCGGTTTCAGAGTTTTTGGGTATTAGGTTTGGGGCTTTTCGGTTTTAGGGTGTAGGTGGTATTGATAGGCTCCAGTTTGTTCTTCGACAGGCTGTAGGGCTTCCTGTTCTTTTCCCCACAGCCCCCAACACAAACTCTCCCTCCAGTGAACCGTTTCTAGCTCAACCTCGATCGCAAGCCATGCGCGGACGTGAGGAGCTGAGCGATGTCCGCACCCTGAAAACCCGCCTGGCGGGCCTCTGCCATGTGCCGCGCTTTCGGCAGAAGCTCCTTTCGGACGGGAAGCTTCGCCGAGAATTTGAAGGGCAAGGGGGGTTTACCTTTAAGAGCCGTCAGAACTGGACAAGGCCACGAAGCCCGAAATCTTACTTATGAATCTGGTTGTTATATGATACCGTCCTTGGGCCCTGAAATGGCCAATCATCTAACCCCCCCAGCTTGGATCCTGGAGCCTCCGAAAGAACCTAGCCCCGAATGCCAAAGCACGAGCACTGCGGTCGTCATCACAAGCTCCCTGAACCTGGAAGTTTGTTAAGCTGCGTTTGCTTTGGTGGCTCTCATTCAACTTGGGATTGAGCTTACTTCTTCCGGAGACTGTGAGGCTTACTGCGTTCGGGTCTTCAGAGGTGGTCTGGGGGTCAGGGATTGAAGCTAAAGCTAAAAGTCAGGGGATCAGGACCCTTGGAGGTTCAGACCAGGGTTTGGAGTCCAGGTTGAGTCTAACCCTCAACTCTCAATCTTAAAGCTAAGCCTTTAGGGTTATCGGGTTTGTGCTTTTAGGGTTTAGGGTTATAGGGTTGTCGGGTTTAAGCTCTGCAAAGGACCAGCCTGACCGATTGGAGCGTGCTGGATAAGCCCATGGATCTGCAGCTGGTGCTTCTTCCTTTTGGCGCCTTGGTTTGCGAGAGTTCTCTGCATGGTGTCTGAAAGTTCTTGGTCCTAAAGTCCTAAATCATGAAGCTGAACTGATGGGTGAATCAGGGTGCCCGATTCACCGAAATCTTAAACCTGAAGACGTGGCCGTAGCACCTTCAAGCCTCACAACACCAAAGCCCGAAGACTTGAAGCTGATAGTTTGCGCATAGACTGAGAAGCTTCGAGGCCTAAACGCCAAAACCCCCAACTCATAGCCCTAATCCGCAAACTCCTAAACCCCAAACTCTGACTCCTGGAGTGCAAGCCCAATTTCTTTTGCTTCGACGCAGAGGCTATGCAAGCTCGACACAAGCGACGGAGCTGGTCAACATGGCCAGCTCTGGCAGAGATTCCGAGGTCTGGTGCATGAAAGTAATGCTGGGTGATTAGCAGCAGTATCTCCTTGTAGTCACGCGAGGGAGTGCAGGGTCAGACTTAGTTTGTGCTAACGCCTCATCAGCATTGTGCTTTTCCACATTCCGTAATTGGTACACACCATCGAAACGCTTCGGCTCATTGCGCTCGGGCTGCGGTTTATGTTCAAGAAGGCCGAAGCCCAGCATTACACGCTGCACTCAAAGCCCCAAACATCCGCCATGACACCTCAACCTCCAATCCTATCACCCCGGCTGTCCGGCAGTTTGCTTCTCGTCTCAGCTGTGTCGTGACTTTTCGCCGGCTCCCTTCAAAACCCTTCTTTTACGTCATGATCAACGTAAGATGGGCACAGCGGAGAGACAGGAGATACGATTACGGGGTCACCGGGCTTCCTCAGTCCTTCGTTCGGATCTGCCCGAAGGGACGGACGATTTTTACCGTTGTGCCCTCGCCCCAGCATTTCTTGGGAGGTGGAGGAGCTGCTGCACGAGCGCCTGGATCCAGACATCACGTACAGTCGAGGAACCACGTTTTCATTTGCAGAGCGTCGTGAGGATGTCAGGTCACCACATTCCAAGCCTCAACCCTGCGATTCCCATGCCCGACACCCAAGCCGGTGAGTGAGGAGAAACTGCTCTCTTCGCGGCATCCCGGAAGGGCCGTGCATCTACGGTGAAACTCCTTTTGGAGGCCAGGGCAGAGATGCTTGCAAGAGTCGTTCGAGGTCCAAAGTCATGCCCCTCCAGACCCCTCAATCTCCTGCGCCCTGAGCACCTAAAGCCCTCCAAAACCCCAGAGTTTTGCATGCGAAACCCTAGACTTAGACGCAAAACTCAACAATTTAGACTCTACCCTGCAAGGCGAAGGCAAGCACAGACAAGGTGTCCGAGCGCAACCGCTTAGGCACAGCTTTGTCCCCGAGCTGCACGGATTGGGCGTTTCGATTAAAGGGGCAGAGTTTAGGGCTGAAGCGGTTTAACTGAGTGGCTACCTGAATGAAAACGGCGCTGAGGAATGTCGCGTGCTTTGCGGGCCACGCGGGTGTGACACAGCTGCTGCTGGAGGCTCGCGCCGAAGTTGAGAAAGTACCGGGACATGGAGAGCTGCCGCTGAACTTGGCATGCTTCAAGGGCAGCGCCGAAGTGGTTCGGCATCTCTTAGGCGCAAAGGCAGACAAGGACGCCTGTGGGCAACAGGGCTTCACACCGCTGCTTGAGGCTTGTTCCAGAGGAAACGTGTCCGTAGTGAGACTTCTTTTGGAATCTCGCGCGAACGTCGATAAAGTCTGCTGCTCTGACGATGTGTCCTACGGCGAAACTCCGCTGTACGTGGCTGCGCGGTCCGGCTACATCGAAGTGGTGCGGCTCCTGCTGCAGGCGGGCGCCGACACCGAGAAGATCTGTGGGATGCAAGGTGGGAGTTTTGGAAAATCAAGAGAGGCACTCCTGAAATCTCCTGAATACAGGGCAGATGGAGTTTTAGTTTGAAGCAACCACTAAGCAGGTGTCACAGCCGTGGATATGGCTCGCCGGAAGAGCCGGATGCAGACCTGGTTTCTGCTATTGGAGGCGAGCGCTAGGCAGAATCAGCTCGCCGGGTCTTGCCTGAAGCTGATGCGAAGCTTCCTCTCAACACTTCTGTCTGGATGGAGGGCGAAGAGGCTGTAGCCTGGTTTCACAGCATCAGTGCCTATCTTGGCCGAGAGGAGACCAGTCAGTATTTTGGTAATCATTTCGTTCCTCATATCAGAGGACTTAGTGTGGGGCCCTGAAGCTCTCAATTCAAAAAAAGAAAGCCGGGAACCCTCAACGAGCTTTATGGCTTCGACCATAGCTTGTAGATCCTGCCCAAGCGACCCTTTTGAACGTGTCCACGGTTGACAACTCCACCACATGTGGGGCAAAGAGTTTTCGACGCGCCGGTCGGAAAAAGGTTCCATGACACTTGTTTGAAAGGCTTCAGGTGTAGACTCAGTCCTGAACCCTAGGCCCTATAGGACCCCAAACCAAAGGTTTCTGCTGTCAGGGATGGCCGTCGAAACCCCCGAGCTCGTTTAACAAGTGACTTCGAAAGCCCGGTCCTCACCCGACAAGACAGATGTTTGAGTTTGAAGTCCGAAGAGTCCGTAGCAAAGGTTCCAAGCTTTGCGATCTAGGCTTTTTCCTCAAGCCGTGCGTGGCTGATGAAAGTAGAAGCCTTTTTTTCGAAGAGCCGTCGGGTTTTTAGACCCAGGCTCACCTGTAGGTCAAAGCAACTCTGCCATGAACTCGGACTTGGTGGCTGTTGGGCCTTTGGACTTTGTGCGTCGTCTTTCTGCTCAGGGTTGAGGCCGAACGAAGCCCAAATCCCCAAATCCAGAGTCAAGGACCGAACCAAACAATGAAGCGTCGACCATGGACTCGCAGGCCTTACCTTGATCTCGAAGCCTACCCGCTGAACCCTATTCATTCAATAGAGCCATCATGACAACGACCTATAGACCTGCCTGGAATTCCAAGCCACCTCCTGCCGATTCTTGAAGGTCGCAGATGCACGTGGTGTATGCTCTCAGGCCCGGCGGTGGTGTTTTGGGTTCTTCTGAGGTTGAGATTCTGGGACTTCAGGTTTCTTGCAGAAGCTCCATAAGAGCTCGTAGCAACCTCTAGACCCCGAGCCCCACCGCCCTACAGAAACCTATGAACACCAGCCGGGCCAGGCCGCAATCCGACGTTTGGCAGGAGAGCATCCAATCCGTGAGCCTGGAGCAGGTGGGTTTCATCCGAGTCTAGGGTTAGGGGTCTCGAGGGTTTAGAGGGTTTGCGGCTTAGGGTTTGGGTTAGGGTGAGAGTTTGTGTGATTTGGGGTTAGGAACCGCAGAGTCTTGCAAAGGTCAAGTGTGTGACTTCCTGCGGCAGAGCATTGCGAGAGAGGGACACAAGTTTACCGTTGCAGGCTGTGGGGCTTGTCTGAAAGTTCGGAAGGAGTGTTTCCTCGTAGTTATACGGTACTTGCAGTAGTTATGCTCGAAGATCCATTCTCTATCTCTGAAGGCCACTATTCTAGACACCATGTATTGGGTTCGGCTTTGGAACTGTAGGGTTTGGATATCCGAAACGATAGCCAGGCAGAGCTGGATAGATTGATGCGCGAGAAGATGAGCAGCAAGCCGCGTCCAACGCAGAAGCAGAGGCGGCTGCACTTCCGAGGTGTGTTGGGGATCCCTTGTCGGGGGTCGTTACGTAGAGAATCCTACTATTGGCGGTCTCTATTTCGGATTTGGGTTTGGGGGTTAGGGGGCTGTCGGCAGTGTTGCCTTGCATATCTCATCCTTTGAACAGGAACGTGCCTAGCTTTTACGAGGAGGGGTTCCTGTGAAGGACCAGGGTGGAGGGCCCTGTGGAGTCTGCTAAGAAGCAACCTTAAGACTTCAAGAGAACCTCACAACAAAACTTGGGATCTGGCCTCGAAACCCCAAGCCCGAGGCCTCACGAACCCCGGCGAAAGCGCAATCCTGTAACCCAAAACCCTAGAGCGTAAGCCCTGATCAGCGCTTCACCCCATACCAGACCCGACGCCCCAAACCCTCAAAAAAATCCTAAACCCTAAAAGGCCTCCAGGCTTCAATGACTCTACTTAAGGGATCATGGGACTTAGTAACTAGGGTTATAATTAGGGCAACTATACTTCTAACCCCAACTAAAGTACTTATAACCTTACCTACTAAGTCCCATGATCCTCCAAGTAGACTCTTATGAAGGCCTCCCTTTTCCGACCCCTTCTCTTACCTTTGGTTAGTAGGGAATGGAGGGATGGGGTACAATTGTAACCACTATTACTACCATTCTTCCATTCCCCACTAACCAAAGGTAAGCTATAGGATTACTAAGGCCCGTATATTACAGTACCCTTAGAGATCCCTTATAGTAACCCTTGTAGACCCCTTTACAAGGCCCCTTCCATTCCCTACTAACCAAAGGTAAGCTTCTCCGTCTCAGGGTGAAGGAGGCCATCACTTGGCTTCTCGAGGCCGGCGCTGACCTCGAGGCATTGGGCCGCCTGAGTTGGTTTTTTTGGGTATTTATGGGTTTAGGGACATGGCTTTAGGGTCTAGGGCCTAGGGTCTCATTTTTTTCTTGTTTGTTTTTTGTTGTCCTGAGTTTCATGAATTACTTTGGTATTTATTGATTTTTTTGGTCGTTTCAGCGCTGTTTTCATTTGGGGCTTAGCTTGTTGGGTGGGGGTAGGGTTTTGAAATGTCTAGCGGCTTTTGCTTTTGGGGGAATTTGGGGTGCAGGGGTTTGGGTTCATCGTTTCGTTGCTTAAGGGAGTTTACGGCGCCGAATTGGGATCTAGGGCTCGAGTGCGGTTGACTTGAACTGAGCTCAACAAGCATCCGAATGCCAACCATGGATTTTATGCCGCCCGCAGCCTGCTTACAAGTATGCAAGGAGCTGTGCACGTATGCGTTACATCCAAGAAGCCCGGCCAAGATCTGCAGAGCCTGTGCTCCGCTGGAGACCAGTAGCGAAGGCGAAGAAAGTCGTGGCTGCCCTGTTCGGGGCGAACTTTGCTCAAGTCCTAGCCGCCTTTTTACTTAAGGGCCGACCCAACGTTGTCGAACCTAAGCCTCAACCCACAGAAGCCGACCTCCGATCCCCTGATCCTGAAGCTCGAACAAGAAACGCGAAACGCAGCTGCCCTGCACCTGCGAACGTCAAGCCAGCATGGCAGAGGTGCTCTGCGCGGATGGCAACTCCGAGGCTCTTCTGCGGGGCAGTGCAGCAGTGCAGGAGGGTTCCAAAGGAACTGCGCAAGAATACGGTCGTTTCGACGTACGGGGTGAGTAGCAGCTTCCTTACTTGGGACATTAACGCCATAAGAAGGCAACGTACGACTCCGGGAACCGAAAATGCACGGTTTTGTACTTGGATGTTTCTGAGTTCAGTTTTCAAGCCCTGCACACTCGAGCCCTACCTTCTCATCTCCAAGTCAGGTCTAAACCGGAAACGGCGGGGTCGTAACCCAGTGCGCAGGCTCAACAAAAAAACCCTGAGCCACGATGCTGGACCATAATCTGTATAGATCATCGTAGACGGGGGCTCTGAGTCGACGACGCTACATCTTTCCATCTGCTCCCAAAATCCTAAGCCCAAGACCCTACACTCCACCCTTGTATCTTCACAGCTTCCATAGTCTAAGACCTTTCAGAAGGTCCGATCGGGTGCCGCATCGCTGCTTGCAGAGTTAGGCCCCGAGGCCTCCGTCACGGGACCTTTGTTTCATCTCTGCCAGAAGGGTTCTCGAAAACCTAGGGCCAGTTGTTGGGCTTCTTCCTTCCGGGGTTCTCTGCTGTTGTGGGGATCCTACAGTAAACGAGCCTGTGCTTTAGAGAGCCCACCACTTGCTGTACTTGGGGTTGTTCGCAACGGACCATTGCCAGATGCTTCAGGAAAAGGAGATCCTCATAAGCAGATCAGAAAGCTACCCGGGACAGGTAGATCGCACAAAGCCTCATTTGCCGAGGGCTTTCTTTCGGAGTATTTGGGTGGTTGTTTTGTACCGAGCTCTGCCACAGGAAATATTGCACTGCAGTCTACGAATCTGCGATACGTCCCTTGCCTGGGCGACCCTAAAGACCCGGACGGAAAATCCTCGGAGCCCTTGTGCTTTTTGCCTTCATTTTTTAGCTCTCCTGGGCCTCCGCGTTTTCTGCCAGAACGGCGGAAGTCGAGCCGTGGCGCTCTTGCAGAGCAGCGACGCTCAGGTCAGAGCTCGGGAGCTGCTTTGTTTTGGTTCTTGGATGCAGGGCCAGGTGAGGCTTTCGGGAGAAGGGAGGCTGTTGTTGGATGTGCGGGTGGTTTTGAGGTTTCTTATATTCCGGATTTCGGTTTTTAGTTTAGGGTTTGGGGGTTTGGGGCTTGGGCTTAGAGTTTCGCGCTTTGGTGTTTGTTGGTCCAGCTTTCGGGTAAGGGTTTGGCATGTCTCTAGAGTCTGGGTCTATATTTTAGAGTCAATGCGTGTAGATGTTGTTCGCATCATCGTCAGTTTGGGATCCTACGTACGCCAATTCGCGTCTTCGAGCCTGATGGAGATCCCTGGTGAAAAGCTCCTTCTTCCCAAAACTTACTGGAGGGGTTTCCCGAAGCCTATGTTTGCCCGAATGTGCGCCGTCCCGACATGCCAGGCCCGCGCTACTGCAGCAGAAGCCATGGGGAGGCGGACGCGCAACCCCACAACTCGAAACGGTTCCTTTAGACACACCTGTTCATGCATGATTGCTTTGGTGGCCCTTATAACCTACAAGCCTACGAGGCAAAAGACCAAAAAGCTTACACTCCAAAGCGCGAAGCCAGACGTTCTGGTGTGGGTTTTCTCTTTAGAACTGCTGCACTTGTTCTGAAGGTGCCGGGAACGTTGCACCGTGGAAACTACCTTACTCTGCCCTACTCTAGCCTACCCTACGCTGAGATTTCAGCCCTTAGGTTCGTCAAGGTGCGGGATTTCGGTTTTGACGGTTGTGCCGTTGAAGGGTTTTAAACGGAAATTATTGCTTTGGAGCTTTAATGCTCGAGGTTTCAGGCTTATAGGGTACACTTTCTACGGTTTTTTGCATAAGATTCAAGTCTCAGCGTCCGGTGATCTCCCAACGTCCTGAAACTCTGGAGGCTTGGCCGCGAAGCCGCGAGCC